CACGTCTGCATGTCATACCACGGGACCGTCGCAGTCGATGGCATGGCGAGCGCCTCCGCACGTGCCCAGCAGTGGAGATGCCGTGCGTGGCCGCCCTGAAATGAGCAGTGATGACATGCACTTGCCATCCATTTTCGGAGGCGGGGGGGGCGGCCTGTGGTGAGAGCTTGAGCGGGTTGCCGTCCGACGGGTCCGTGGCCTGCTGTGCCCTGCTGGGCCGCCGGGTCGGAGGAGGGGGGCCCACCCGGGCGTCCCCAGGACCGCCCCCCTCACCAGTGTCGCTCGTGCATGGCTGAGCTCAGCGCGCCGTCGGGCGCCCGTGCACGTCCGACCACGCCCTCTCATGCTGCCTTGGCACTCTCCGGGCGCGTCTGCGCAAGCCGCAGTCTTCGCCTTGGCCGTCATTTGCCTATCGCGCCATGGCTCTGCACAGCGTGATGGGCTAGATACGGCCGCACAGTGCCTCCTCGAGCACTACGCATTGGCCGTGACGGTTGTGGAGCACTGTTTCGTCTATCTATCTGCTTGCAACATCACCCATGCTGTGTCATCGTTGAAGTTCATCGTCGTTGTAGTGGTCAGTCTTTGAGGGCCCCAGCACGTTGTATCGCCCCTTCCTGTTGTTCAGCCCGAGTGAGGTGGTTCCGCTCGCGCGAATCCATTTAAGGTCGCACGCGTGTTGGCTGGTCCAGTTCAGGCCCTCTTGAGGGCTTCTTGGGCTGTTGGGGGGCTCGGCCTTCTTGGGCCTTCTGAACTCGTTTCGGGACCCTCTTTGGCCGTTTCAGGCCGTCTTGTGACACCCTGGGGGCCGCGTCCTATTGAGCCGTAGAAGGGGATATCTGATCCAAGAGATTCCCCCTCCCCAGGGGAGGGGAACGGATGGGGAGCGATCAGATATAACCGTGCGCCTGCACCCCAGAGGATAGGTTCCAGGTCTGCTGGTTGAGACCCGTAAGGCGTTGCAGTCGAGGTTCGGCGAGGATGACAAGCATCTTTAATCCATTTTCCGAGACGGGGGAGGGCCTTGCGGCGAGAGCGGGACGTTGACGCGGCGCGGCCAGGGGTGTTTGCCGTGGCCGTCTTGGCCCACAGGCACGCGCACTGGTGGCGCACGCCCGTCCGCGTCCCCAGGTGCCCCGATCCCGTGCGTGACGCGTTTGCGCCAGCTGAGCCGAGCCTTGGACTGTGCTTGCGGGTTTCGCGGGAAGCGTCCACGTCTGCATGTCATACCATGGGACCGTCGCAGTCGATGGCATGGCGAGCGCCTCCGCACGGGCCCAGCAGTCGAGATGCCGTGCGTGGCCGCCCTGAAATGAGCAGTGATGACATGCACTTGCCATCCATTTTCGGAGGCGGGGGGGGCGGCCTGTGGTGAGAGCTTGAGCGGGTTGCCGTCCGACGGGTCGGTGGCCTGCTGTACCCTGCTGGGCCGCCGGGTCGGAGGAGGGGGGCCCACCCGGGCGTCCCCAGGACCGCCCCCCTCACCAGTGCCGCTCGTGCATGGCTGAGCTCAGCGCGCCGTCGGGCGCCCGTGCACGGCCGACCACGCCCTCTCATGCTGCCTTGGCACTCTCCGGGCGCGTCTGCGCAAGCCGCAGTCTTCGCCTTGGCCGTCATTTGCCTGTCGCGCCATGGCTCTGCACAGCGTGACGGGCCAGATACGGCCGCACAGTGCCTCCTCGAGCACTACGCATTGGCCGTGACGGTTGTGGAGCACTGTTTCGTCTATCTATCTGCTTGCAACATCACCCATGCTGTGTCATCGTTGAAGCTCATCGTTGTAGTGGTCAGTCTTTGAGGGCCCCAGCACGTTGTATCGCCCCTTTCTGTTGTTCAGCCCGAGTGAGGTGGTTCCGCTCGCGCGAATCCATTTAAGGTCGCACGCGTGTTGGCTGGTCCAGTTCAGGCCCTCTTGAGGACTTCTTGGGCTGTTGGGGGGGTCGGCCTTCTTGGGCCTTCTGAACTCGTTTCGGGACCCTCTTTGGCCGTTTCAGGCCGTCTTGTGACACCCTGGGGGCCGCGTCCTATTGAGCCGTAGAAAGGGGATATCTGATCCAAGAGATTCCCCCCCCCCAGGGGAGGGGAACGGATGGGGAGCGATCAGGTATAACCGTGCGCCTGCACCCCAGAGGCTAGGTTCCAGGTCTGCTGATTGAGACCCGTAAGGCGTTGCAGTCGAGGTTCGGCGAGGACGACAAGCATCTTTAATCCATTTTCCGAGAGGGGGGAGGGCCTTGCGGCGAGAGCGGGACGTTGACGCGGCGCGGCCAGGGGTGTTTGCCGTGGCCGTCTTGGTCCACAGGCAAGCGCACTGGTGGCGCACGCCCGTCTGCGTCCCCAGTTGCCCCGATCCCGTGCGTGACGCGTTTGCGCCAGCTGAGCCGAGCCTTGGACTGTGCTTGCGGGTTTCGCGGGAAGCGTCTACGTCTGCATGTCATACCACGGGACCGTCGCAGTCGATGGCATGGCGAGCGTCTCCGCACGGGCCCAGCAGTCGAGATGCCGTGCGTGGCCGCCCTGACATGAGCAGTGATGACATGCACTTGCCATCCATTTTCGGAGGCGGGGGGGGCGGCCTGTGGTGAGAGCTTGAGCGGGTTGCCGTCCGACGGGTCGGTGGCCTGCTGTACCCTGCTGGGCCGCCGGGTCGGAGGAGGGGGGCCCACCCGGGCGTCCCCAGGACCGCCCCCCTCACCAGTGCCGCTCGTGCATGGCTGAGCTCAGCGCGCCGTCGGGCGCCCGTGCACGGCCGACCACGCCCTCTCATGCTGCCTTGGCACTCTCCGGGCGCGTCTGCGCAAGCCGCAGTCTTCGCCTTGGCCGTCATTTGCCTGTCGCGCCATGGCTCTGCACAGCGTGACGGGCCAGATACGGCCGCACAGTGCCTCCTCGAGCACTACGCATTGGCCGTGACGGTTGTGGAGCACTGTTTCGTCTATCTGTCTGCTTGCAACATCACCCATGCTGTGTCATCGTTGAAGCTCATCGTTGTAGTGGTCAGTCTATGAGGGCCCCAGCACGTTGTATCGCCCCTTTCTGTTGTTCAGCCCGAGTGAGGTGGTTCCGCTCGCGCGAATCCATTTAAGGTCGCACGCGTGTTGGCTGGTCCAGTTCAGGCCCTCTTGAGGGCTTCTTGGGCTGTTGGGGGGCTCGGCCTTCTTGGGCCTTCTGAACTCGTTTCGGGACCCTCTTTGGCCGTTTCAGGCCGTCTTGTGACACCCTGGGGGCCGCGTCCTATTGAGCCGTAGAATGAGATATTTGATCCAAGAGATTCCCCCCCCCCAGGGGAGGGGAACGGATGGGGAGTGATCAGGTATAACCGTGCGCCTGCACCCCAGAGGTTAGGGTCCAGGTCTGCTGATTGAGACCTGTAAAGCGTTGCAGTCGAGGTTCGGCGAGGATGACAAGCATCTTTAATCCATTTTCCGAGACGGGGGAGGGCCTTGCGGCGAGAGCGGGACGTTGACGCGGCGCGGCCAGGGGTGTTTGCCGTGGCCGTCTTGGCCCACAGGCAAGCGCACTGGTGGCGCACGCCCGTCTGCGTCCCCAGGTGCCCCGATCCCGTGCGTGACGCGTTTGCGCCAGCTGAGCCGAGCCTTGGACTGTGCTTGCGGGTTTCGCGGGAAGCGTCCACGTCTGCATGTCATACCACGGGACCGTCGCAGTCGATGGCATGGCGAGCGTCTCCGCACGGGCCCAGCAGTCGAGATGCCGTGCGTGGCCGCCCTGACATGAGCAGTGATGACATGCACTTGCCATCCATTTTCGGAGGCGGGGGGGGCGGCCTGTGGTGAGAGCTTGAGCGGGTTGCCGTCCGACGGGTCGGTGGCCTGCTGTACCCTGCTGGGCCGCCGGGTCGGAGGAGGGGGGCCCACCCGGGCGTCCCCAGGACCGCCCCCCTCACCAGTGCCGCTCGTGCATGGCTGAGCTCAGCGCGCCGTCGGGCGCCCGTGCACGGCCGACCACGCCCTCTCATGCTGCCTTGGCACTCTCCGGGCGCGTCTGCGCAAGCCGCAGTCTTCGCCTTGGCCGTCATTTGCCTATCGCGCCATGGCTCTGCACAGCGTGATGGGTCAGATTCCCGCCGCACAGTGCCCCCTCGAGCACTACGCATTGGCCGTGACGGTTGTGGAGTACTGCCAGGGGTGTTGACGTGGGCGTCTTGGCCCGCAGGCAAGCGCATTGGTGGCGCACGATCGTCCGTGTCCCCAGGTGTCCCGATCCCGTTCGCGACACGCTTGCACAGCTGAGCCGAGACATCGATTGTGCTTGCATGGCTCGCAGGGGGGAAGCACAGCCTGCCCATCGCACAGTGGCACCTCCAGATGTTGTCGGAGCTCTCTGACACTCAGAGGCCGAAAGACGGCCAAACGCGGTCATTTTCAGTTCAGTATTTCAGATCATACTGATCGCACATTGGAAGTCTGCTTGTTTCCCGAGTTCCACTATGATTTGGCGTCTCGTCTTTTCCGGAACCGATTGTTTGTCCGTGCTGCTTCCGCTTCAGTGGGCGGGCGGACACCCATCCTATTTCATGCTTCTACCAGCTGGTTCCGCAAGATCAGTGCTGCCAGCGTCGCGCGAAGGCTCGGAAGGTCTCCGGTTTTCCGAGAACTTTGTATAAGCCTTCCCCTGCGAAGCCGGGAGGGCGCCTCGGGAGGCTGGAGGGCTCCTGAGGAGCCCGCCCGCCCTCTGAGCAGGCCTGCCCCCCCTCTCGCGGCACCCCATCGGCGCGCCCTCCTCTCCAAGCGGGCGGGCGGAAACCCCGTCTGCTTGACCGCCTCCCCACTTCGTGTTTCTGCCCACTGCAGCCGGACGGTCGGTGCGGTCCCCCCGCGCGGCGCGCGCGCGCAGCGCAGCGCAGCGCAGCGCAGCGCAGCGCAGCGCAGCGCAGCGCAGCGCAGCGCAGCGCAGCCCGCGAGCACGGCAGCCGCAGTTCGAGCCAGTAGGGCCCTCTGCTCCCTCGCGCCCCCAAAACGTTCCCGACGGGCCCGCGCCAGGCATTGAGCACAACGAGTACGTGGCCCGCTCGCTGGTGCAGGTCTTGGAAACGGGGGCAGGGGAGAAGGGGCTTGGGGGGGGGAGGGGTGGGGGGGGGGGAGGGGAGACGGAGAGAGAGGGGGTTGGGGGGACAGGGAATGAGAGAAGGGCTGGGGAGGGAGGGGCGGAGAGGGAGTCTGGGGATGGAGGACCAGGGGCGCGGGGGTGGGGAGGAGGGGGAGGGAGGGACGAGGAGGAGGGTGTGGAGGCGAGAGGAGCCCCTCGAGAGCCCGGGCGGCCCTCCCCGGCGTTCTTCCCGGGGGGGGCCGAGCGGGGGTCGCTCGCCGCCGCCGCTGGAGGTCCGCCCCGCCCCGACCGGCGGAGCGGGAGGGGCCCCAGGGGGCTACCAGGCGTGAGCTCGCGCAAGGACTCCCGCGCACGGGCGCGGGGGGCTGGCCCATGGGAGCCTCCCGTCGCCGCGTCCGTGGGTCCGCCTCGACCGGCGGGTCAGGGCGGGCCCCAGGAGGGGGCACCCGTCGGCCGTTCGGAGTGGGTGGTGATCGCCCCAGACCTACGTTGGGCCTGTCCCTCTACAGGGGGAAGATTTAAAGATAGTCGATAGAATAGTCGGGGGATTACTTTTTGGGTACTGTTTGGACATCTGTTGAGTCTTTTTGGGGCACTTTTCATTTTTCGTCCAAAATCCCCCTGTAGGGGGACAGGCCCGACCTAACCCCAGACGTCTGGTGCCTCGAATAAGTCGGGACAGTGGTTTTTCATGGTTTTCAGCCTCGCGGGACCCTTGCCGGGCTTCGGGGCCGTCGAACAACGGCTCGGGATGAAAGATCTGTCCCTGGGAAGCGGTCGAGAGGTCGGGGGCCCGCGCTTCGAAAACATCGGACGCCGGATTTCTGGGCTAGGATTCCCAGATCCCAATCTATGTGAGGCGCCTTCCTACGTCAACGATCGAGTGGCTTACTCTTCTTCCTCCCTCTTCAGGGGGCGGGCGGAAGCCCAATATACTTCCAACGCCTTCCTGCTTCGAGCTTCTACCCACCTCTTCCGACCGACGGGTACGGCGACCGGTTCCCAGACGTTCTGCTGCGCGGCAGCGCGGCAGAGGCGCTCCGCACGAGCGCTCGAGCTGGCCGGGGGCAGGCGGACTGATTGTTCGGCCGCGCGAGGGGGGAGGGGGCGGAGGGCGGCGGAGGGCGGCCGCAGGGCCGGGAGGCGAAGGGAGGCGCCCTTGGCGCGAAGGCCTTCGACGGGAGCGGCCGGTGCGGCCAGTCCGTGCTGAGCAGCCTGGCAGTGGTCACGGAGCGGCAGCGCGGCCACACCCAGGGGCGGAGGCAGGGGCTGCAGGCGCGGTTCCCAGGCATGCCGCGTCTTGTGATGTCAGTGCGGGGCCCCCGGAAGTCCTGACCGTTTCCCAAGCACCGTTCCTTCGTTCCGGCGCGTTTGTGGGACGGTCCCGGGGCCTGGTAAAAGGCCCCCAGATGCTTCAAACGGCGAGTAAGGAACGGTCAGTGCTGAGGCACTGATGCCTCTTTTGGTTCCGAGCCGGCTATGACGACCACTCGTGCCCACCTCGGCTCATTTTCAGGGACCTCGCATCCCTGTCTTATGATGTGGATGGGAAGACGGACCGCCTCCCCCCCCATTGGACGCGCGGTGCACCGATCCAAGCAATCCGCGCGAACCGTCGAACAAACAAAGGTTATTCTTATGTAGGTTTTTGCTCGAGTAGAACAAGAGCGCCGGCATCTTAACAACAAAGGGGAGGAGGAGGAGGAGGAGGAGGAGGAGGAGGAGAATGAGGAGGAGGAGGAGGAGAGGAGGAAGGAGGGGGGAGGAGGAGGAGTGGAGGGGGGGGAGGAGGGGAAAAAACGGGGAGGATTAGGAGGAGGAGGAGGAGGAGGGAGTGAGGAGGATGGAGGAGGAGGAGGTGATGTGGGATAATTTATTTATTATATAAATTTATATTTATATTTTTATATTTATTATTCTTATATCATTAATTTTTTCGTATAATCATAACGATTTCTTTTTTAATGTCGATTTCGCCTTTTTTCCGCCTTTTCGTTTTTTCGGCGCGTCGCGACCCACAGGAGCCGCTCCCGCGGGACGGCCTGGCGCGTCAGGTCGAGCGCTCTGGAGCTCTATCTGGAACGGCTGCGGCGGCCGATGCAGTTCTCAGGGCTGTTGGGTTTCAGTCAGGAGGGGAGAAACACACAGACACAACGAATCGATTCCCAGGAAGATGTGGGAAAATATGGGAAGTGGGGGGAGGACAAACATTCAGAAACTAAGAGGAAATATGTGGGATATGTTGTATTTGTGTGTATTTTTATATGTGTGTGTGTGTCCTGGGGCCCCTTCATTCAGAGATCCCCGATGTCCGGAGGTGTAAAGACCTCCTACCCTGATGCGTCGATCGAAGAATTGGCCGTTTTCGGTTCGCGAGAGGGCGCCGCGGTCGTCATTTCTGCGGGTCCAGGGCCGTCGGTTGCGGTCGCAGGCCGTTTTCATTATAGGGCGGTTTACCAAAAGGAGGTCTGTCCACCGCCGACCGCTCAAGAATGACAAACGCATCAAATCTCGAAGCCCCCCGCGGATCCCACGGATCGGCGCCAGGGCCCCCGTGGGCTCGCCACCGACCGGGTGGCTGAGCATCCGCCGCTGCCCCCTGGCGCGCTCCGCGCGCCAGGGGGGGAGGTCGTCGGCGCGGACCCGAGAAATCCCCGCGGACCTCCTCAAGTTGACGTTATCAGGAGGGAACAAAAACACGGAGACAAAGTTAGTCGTCGATCCCCCAACAAATAGGGCAAACGTGTGGGAAATGGGGGGGACAAACACCCAGAACATATGGAAACATATAGAGAATCCGGTTATTTCTGTCTATTTATTTGTGTGCCCCAGGGCCCCTTCAGTTATGCCTTGTCTTCTCCCGCGAAATGTTTGCCATCGTCGACGTCGGCGAATGGTGCAGCTTGCGGGCCGGGTACCGTCAAACACGGGATCCTTGGCCACAGAGTGTGCACGTGCTGGTGGGTTGCCGCAAATTGCGTCTGCCGCACACCTGCGGGGCGGCCGGGGCGACAAAAGGTCCTGGACTACCTGCAGCTCTTCGGCGGCCCCGATGCGGGCTGCCCGCCGCAGACCCTGGGGGCGCGCTCTGCACCGCCGCCGCTGCGCCCGCTGTGACGACGGCGATCCGAGAGGGGAAAACGCTCCCACGAAGGACACGGGTCCTGAAGTGAGTATCGTTCAACCGACCCTTTTATCCCCGTGGGCGTGGCCTGGGCCCCTCTGGCCGATTTACCCTCTCGGTGGGGATACAGGCTGTTTCCTGCGCGTTTCGAGGGGTATGTCCGCAACTGAGGCGCTGAGATGGCGGGGGTCTTAATAGGGATGGGGATGGGGGTAGGGGTCCGTGAAACGATGCTGATGAAGGAAGCAGGTCCTGAGTTTTTTGTCACGTTTTTTGACTCCTCTGGGATCTCCACGAAACCTGGGACTCTGTCAGAGAACGGTTCGGGATGAAGGATTGGTGTTGGTCCAGGACCCGCTTCCCTCTGGACCCACAGTACCGATACCGGTGCGCTGGACTCGTGCTCACCTTTTTGGGCCTCTTGGGAGGCCCCTTGTCGACACGGCTGGATTCGCCTCGAAATTGTAGCCAGATCGCACGATCGTAGCTTTGTTGATGGCGTACCTGTCCTTGCTCATGATCTCATGATGCCCTCAATGATCATGCCTCTCCTCGTCTTTGCCTGGCATCGGGGCCGTTCTATGATCTATCAGGTGGGTTGCTGACAACATGGTTATCCATTGTTCTCCGAAGCGCTGGCAGAATTGAGCGTTGGCCTCAGCCTTGCGCACCCGCAGATGGGAAGGCATGATCCTGATGATCATGATGATGCATCGTGATCGTTATGAGGCAGAGGAGCAGGAGGGAGGGAGTGGATAACAATAGTGATATAATGAGGGATACACAAGAGGGAGGGGGGCGAGAGGAAGGAAGCAACATTGCGACGTTTGTCATGGATGGGTATGACGATAGGGGACGAGGAGGGGGAAGAGGATGATGATGATGAGGAGGAGGAGGAGGATAATGAGGAAGAGGAGGAGGAGGAGAAGAAGGAGGAGGACGAGGAGGAGGAGGAGGAGGCGGAGGAGCACGGAGGCGGAGGAGGAGGAGGAGGAGGACGAGGAGGAGGAAGGAGAAAGGGAGGGGGAGGGAGGGGGGGAATGGGAGTGGGAGGGGGAGGAGGAGGAGAGGGAGGAGGAGGAGGAGGAGGAGGAGGAGGCAGGAGGAGAAGGAGGAGGAAGGAATGAGGAGGCGGGAGGGGGAGGAGGAGGAGGAGGAGGAGGAGGAGGAGGAGAAAGGAGAGGGAAAAGGGAGGAGGGGATGAGAGAGGCGTTTAGGAGGAGAGGATGAGGAGTGAGGAGGAGGAGGAGGAGGAGGAGGAGAAAAAGGCGTACGTCAGGCCGCCCACGTCTTGACCGCCTGGCCGGACGGGCTCGACGGCGACGGCGGCGGCGGCGACCTGCGTCGACCCGGATCCCGGACGTCATGTTTTTGTTCATGGCGTCGCCCTCAGAGTTTTGGACCCATTCCCGGGGACCGGTTTCTCATGCTGAGCCGTTGTTTTGACGGTCTCGAGGCCCGGTAATAGGGCTCCCAGAGGCCGAAGATAGTGAAACATTCCCCGTCGTGATTTTGTTCGTGACCTGAGGGTGTCTGGGGACACCCCGGAGGAGGAGGAGGAGGAGGAGGAGGAGGAGGAGGAGGAGGAGGAGGAGGAGGAGGAGCCCTCCCGTCGCCCTCCGCACCCCTGCTCGGCTGCCGCTGGCGGCCGCCAGGGACGTCCGAGGGCCGCCCCCCATGGCTCGCTTCGATTCCTCCGAGTCGATTCGATTCGACTTCGATGGATTCCGACTCCGAATCGAGTCGATTCGGTTCGATTCGATGGATTCCTCCGATTCGATTCGATTCCGATTCGATCCGGTTCGATTT